CAGGACACCGGGCCAGTTGCCCAGGTGATGCTGGGGTATGCCACGAGAAGCGCCCTGGCCTCTGGGTACTTGGCGTCCAGCTGGGAAGAGGAGAAAAAGTGGCACTGTTGAGCGCCTGCTGGATGCCAGACATCATGCCAGGCGCTTTCCGTACACCCTCCCCCTCTAAGGCCGAGGCTGTTATTTGTCCCATTTTCAGATGAGCAAACCGAGGCTCCAAGGTGTGGAGTCATTGCTCAGGGCCACACAACCAGAGCCCTGGCCTGGAGTGCTGGCTGGGCTGACCCCAGAGCCCCTTCTGCGGACCGCTCCGTTTTACTGCCGCCCCCCTCCTCACTGAGCTGGCCCTGGCAGGCAGCGCCCGGTCTGACCCTCCGCTGTGGAGCTGATGGGAAGACAGATCAGGCAGGAAGCAGTGATTCTCACATAGCAGGGGCTTCAGAGGCGGCTGCAGGAGGCCTCTGCAGAGAAGGGACATCCCAGTGGGGATTGGGAAGGTGCATAGGGTTACCCAGGTGAAGGAGGTGAGGACGAATGTCCTGGGCAGAGGAACAGCATGTACAGGAGCCAGGGGGCGGGGGGGATGGCTAGCGAGGGGCTTGGAGGGGGCTGTGCTGGGCTGAGGGAGCACTGAGGACAGCCTTCTGTTGTCCTGAGCCCTGAGCCTTGAGCGTGGACCCGCCTAGTGCAAGCGCGGTGTGGGTGGACGCCTGTTTAATTTCACACTTGGATGGAGGCCCCGGGGAGAAGCTGGGAAGCCTGAGCCTGGGAATGGCGCTCTGGCATCTGGGTGGAGTGTGGAGCAGAGGGACCCGGTGATGTCCCCCACCCCCTCCTCCCTCCCGGTGCCTGTGGTGGTCAGAGCTGCAGGACCCCCGGTGCTTCCTGCGCTGGGGAGGGGGGGATGGGGGTGCACACAGGTTGTGGGCTGATGAGGACAAATATGTCCCAGCAATCTTTTATTTTGAAAGCGAGAGCAACGTTGAAATAACAGTGCAGCGAGCACCTGTGTGTCCTTCATCTAGATTCGCCGGCGGCCAGCATTTTGCTGGGGCTTGCTGCTTCTCTTTCTAAATATATGTGCATGCATTTCTGAACCTCCCACAAGAAGCTGCCAGCATCCTGACCCTCACCCCTAAATAATTCAGGGCACCTCTCCGATGAAAAGGGACATTCTCCCACACCACCCCTGTGCCGTTCCCACCCCTAAGAAAATCAGCAGCGGGTCCATCGGGGCATCTACTTGCGCCCCATGGTGCAGCTTCCCCAGCGATCCGAATAATGTTTTCTGTGGCTGGTCTTTAACACCAGATCCAGGACCCAATCCAGGCTTTGCGAGTTGCATTTGATGGCTTTGTCTCTTTTTCCAGAACGATCCCCTGCCTTGTTTTACCTCTCATGGCACTGACTGACTCAAGTGTCCTGGCCAATTGCCTTGTAGAATGTCCCGCCTTCTGGATTTGTCTGGTTATGTCCTCATGATTAGACGCAGGTTGAATATTTCTGGCAGGAGCACTCCGTGGATGCCACGTCCTCCCACGGCTTGAAATCAGGGGGGCACATGATGTTGGGGTGTTCACTATTGGAGAGGCCAGGTTTGATCAAGGACAGTCATCTTCATGGTTATATTTTTGTTGTGTATTAGAAAAGATACGAACAGCACACGTCATTGGTAATTTTATGGATATTGATGCTTAGACTAAATCTAGATCAGGCAAGTCAGTGAAATGAGCGAGCTGATTTAGAGAAACATCCTGAGTGAATCATCGGACAGGTGGTTAGGGAAGAATCCAGAAGGTAGCGTGGGAATGGCTAAGCTCCTGGAAACCCAGACAGAATGGTAAGAACGCAGGTCTCGGCATTGAGCAGACCTTGGCAATGACCTCCTGCCTGCCTCCTTCTGGCCGTGGCCTTGGGTCCCTTTCTCAGGTCTCTGGCTCAGCTGCCTCACCTGGACAGTCAGGTTCACACTGGTCACCTTCAGGTTCCTGACGCTGGTGGAGGGGCTTCGGGTAGGTGGCTGGGTCCCCGGAGGGCTGCCTGATGCCCACCCCACTCAGGACCCTCCATGGCTCCAGGCAGTGAGGCAGTGATGACCTGCTGGCCCTGGCATGGTACCAGGGACACCTGATGGCTTCATCTGTTTCCTAAAGGTTAATTAGCTCCTTAAAGCATCAGAAGGGCCCATCGCCCCCCACCCCAGCTCACTGCCCCTGGGGCTTAGCTGCCTGCTGATCAACCAGTGTTCATGCTAGGGACCATTCCAATGGGGGAGGGGCAGCCAACTATGTCCCCTGCCCTCATGTAGCTAGCTGTTCCATCCTGGGGACTTGGGGGGAATTTCTGAGCTAGGGGATTCCAGGGGAGCCTTCTCTGGCCCTGTGAGGCCAGAGGACAGCAGTGGATCTGCCACCCAAACTCTTTACCTCCCAGCTCCTGCCGTTCCTGTCATGTGATGCCGAGGTCACACAAGGTCATGCAGATCTTCCTCTGACTCTCAGGGTGGGGGAGGCACCCAACTGGGCATCCATCCTGGGCTCTGCAGGCAGTCCTGGCCCTGCCATTTCCTGGCAAGGTGACCTTGGCTGACTATAAGCAAGTGGACTCGTCTGAACCTCAATCTAATTGGGAAAACGGGACTACCACCCACCTGCGGGATTCTTTTTTTTTTTTTTTTAAGATTTTATTTATTCATTTGAGAGAGAGAGCTAGAGTAGGGGGGAAGGGCAGAGGAAGAGGGAGAAGCAGGCTCCCTGCTGAGCAGGGAGCCCCGATGATGTGGGGTTCTCTCCCAGGACCCTGGGATCATGACCTGAGCCAGAGGCAGACGCTTAACGACTGAGCCACCCAGGCGCCCCTACCTGTGGGATTCTTACGCAGGAAAGAGCATCAAGCCATTGTAGTTTTCACAAGAACCCGTTTTACAAATGAGGGAACTGAGGCTCAGAGAGAGGAAGTACTTTACCCGAGGACACACAGCTAGTAAGCTGTGGAGTTGGGTTTGAATCCAGGCAGCCTAGTCTGGCTCCGGAGTAGGTTCGCCGCAAGCTCCTGCCTATGCTGTGATGGGTCTCCTGTGTCTCTCCAGGTTCGGGCTTTGAGCATCATCCCCTGCCCCTGCTGCCCTTCACTGCCAGGCGTGGGTGGCGAGTCCAGGGCAGCTCAGCCTGGGTCAGACCAAGGTCACTTTCCCTCTCCACCCCCACACCTGACCCCCTTCCCACCTTCTATCATCTGCCAAAACTCTTGGAAAATTGCATTCTTTACTCTAGGTCTGGCCGATCCAGGTAGCCGGCACCTCCCACTGTCGCCATGCCCTCTGTTTATCAGCTGCCTATTGGGGGACTGGCCTCTTCCTCTGCCTGGGATTTGGGCTTGTGGGAGGAGGAACCTGGCGGTGGGCCTCCAGCCTGCCCCAGGGGTCTGACCACCAGGTTACAGCCTGTGGATCAGATGGCTGAGCCACACACAAAGTTTAGAGCCTCACCCTCTCACTTCACGTCCTGGCCCCTTCATGCCTCAGTTTCCCCATTTGGAGCCAGGGCAGAGTAACACTGTGTTCCCTCGGAGCTGTTGTCAGGGCGGCTGCGTCAAACACAGAGGCCCACCCTGGCACGGAGCCGGTGGGCACTTGGTGTCCGGGAGCTGTTACAAGCTTCCTTTGAGCGGGTTTTGGAAAAGTGGCCTCCTCGAGTCCAGTTGGGCACAGCAGTTCAGGGACACCCCCTTGGGCCTCCCTTCCCACTTCCCTGGGAGGAGGCTGCAGTTCCTTTACTCAGCTGACCTCCACCTGGCACCGACCTTCCTGTCCGTCCATTCATTTGTACCTTCATTCATTCCTTCCACAAGTGGGCATGGAGCACGTAGGCGGGCCGGGGCCCTGCCAGGGACTCAGGAGCTTTCACACCCATTTCACACCTGTTCGGATAGAATTCCCAGCACAGGGGCGCCTGGGTGGCTCAGTTGGTTAAGCGACTGCCTTCGGCTCAGGTCATGATCCTGGAGTCCCGGGATCGAGTCCCGCATCGGGCTCCCTGCTTGGCGGGGAGTCTGCTTCTCCCTCTGACCCCCCCCCCCTCATGTGCTCTCTCTTTCCTCTCATCCTCTCTCTCAAAAAAAAAAAAAAAAAAATCTTTAAAAAAAAAAAAAAAAGAATTCCCAGCATAGCTCATGGGGCAGGTCCTATTATTCCTGCTTTACAAATGGGGAAACTGAGGCATGGGTTGCTGGAGGCACCTCCCGAAGTCACCCCCACAGAGAGTAAGTGTGGCCCGGGAGGTGGTTACATGTTCTCACTCGGTGATGGTAGAGACAGCCCTGGTTTGGTTCCAATCTGAGCCAATTTAGTACTTTTCAGAAAAAAAAAAAAAAAGATTTTTTTGTTTGTTTCATGGTTCAATAAAGAATGACTCTTTTGGCTTGGCTGGATGTTCGACCACGTTCTGTGGCTTGTCCCAGGTTTTGGTTTTCGGCTCTGTTCTCTTCTTGCCTGTAAAAAACCTGGAAATGACTGCCGTGGGGGGCTGGAGGGGCAGGCTGAGGAGCGGAGGGGGCTGGGGGCTGCCAGGGCCCCGGGGTACTGCTCAGCCTTTCTGTCCTGGCCCGCCACACGCAGGCAGGGCAGCCGAGTGCCTTCTCTGATGGTGCTGTCCCGGGAATGAGAGATGGGGCGCAGCATATCTCAAACACTGGCCTGGGTGTGATGTTCCTTCCGGCCCCCCCGCCCCCCAGGACAGCAGGGAGAGCCAACCCCGTGTGTAAGGGGCTGTTCTTGTCAGTCCTTCTAGAAGCACAATGGGCCTCAGGAGGGATAGGCCAGTGCTGTCCCCTGCCGGGGTAGGCTGGACACGGAGCTCCTGACCGCGATTGTTCATTTGGGGGACAGGGGCGGGCAGGCCTTGGGGGCGGGCTGGGGAGGGCAGGAAGGAGGCTCCCCGGGGTCTGCCCATCCCCTAAGACACCTCCCAGAGCTAAAAGTCTTCTTCTGTTTTCTCTTGCAGTTACCGAGAAGGAAGTTCAGCAGTGGTGAGTAGCTGTTTTTCCCCGAAACTGTTGGCGGGGAGGCTTTGGGCTGATGGGACAGCAGTCCAGCTGCCCAGGACAGGGGCACGGGGAGGGGCTTCTGAGCTTGGCTCCTCTACCAACCTGTCCGAGGCAGCCTTCATTTAGATTTTTTTGTCCACAAGGGGCTGATGTAGAGCCAGTTGAACTGGAGTGGAGAGGGGGTGTTGGGGACTCCTTGGCTTGTGTGTCATCTCTAAGGACCACCGGGCCCTGCTCACCAAAGAGAGGGGTTTGGACCAGGAACGAGTCAGGAGACTGGGTCCCAGGCCTGGCTTTGTCACTAAGTCACTGGTGGCCTTGAGAAGTCTCTTCCCATTTCTGGGGTTCAGCGCCCTCTTCTATAAAGTGATCGGTGAGACTGGACCAAGGATGGCAAATAGGTTTTCTCTCGGATGCCGGTTCCGTTCAGTCTGTAGAGGCTGTCCAGAGTGCCGTGTTAAGAAGGGTTCTGAGGCTGTATGTCATGGAGCAAAGGGAAAGTATAGCAGTGAGGGATTAACGAGGGCTGTAACGGATTAGTGATGCCTGCCTGGGCTGGGGGAGACGGGAGTGGCATATTGTCTGTCACCTGGTCACCTGTGGAATGTGGCAGAATGTAGTGCTGACAGGGGAGGCTCACGCTAAGGTAGACCTGAGGTTGGGGGGTTAGGGAGGGGAGGAGGCAAGCCTGGATAACTTCCAGGAAAGTTTGGTGGTTTAGAAATGGACTCTAGAATCCTGACGAGGCCTCAAGTGATTCTCTGAGCCTCAGTTTCCCCATGTGTATGGTGGGAATGATGACTCACTGGGAAGACATTCCCTGTGAAGGTCGTAGCACGGTGTCCAAGAGATGACAGCCATGTCCAGTGGTCTTCTGTGCGCCGTTCAGAAGAAACTGAGGCCTGGAGATGTGCCCCCCGTCACAGCCAGCCGTGGTGGGCCTGCAAGGACCCACACCGTGAGACTCCAGGCCAGGCTCCCCTAGGGGCCAGTCCGTACAACTCCAGGTCCCTGAGTCCAGGCGGCAGAGGGTGGGAGCTGCCCACATGGTGAGCCCTGCCGGGCAGGGCAGAAGGTGCAGTCTGTCCTGGAGAGATGGCAGATGCTTCCCCAGCGCTGCTGTGTACCCTGCGAGCTCTCAGACGTGTCCTCATTCAGTTCCTCCTCACTGTCACCCAGAGGAGTGTCCCATCTTGGCATTTCCTAGACCGGGCCCTTGAGTCCCCGGGCCCTGCCCTGCTTACACCTGTGCTTCCCCCAGAGAAGGCAGGGCAGGGCAGAGCGTTCAGGCAGGCTCTGGAACCAGGGCGCTGGGCTTGGGTACCCACACCCCACGTCCTGCGTGAGCAACCTTGAGCAAGTTGCTGGACTTGTCAGTGCCTTGGTTTTCCCATCTGGAAAATGAGGGTAATAATAGTTAAATATTATAGGACTATTTTAAAGAACAAGTGATGTATTCACATAAAGCATCTGGAGCAGAGCCTAGTAGCCCTCTCTTCGTTGGTGGTTTTAACAATAATCCTGATATCGTCATCAGTACAACCCATGTGGCAGTCCTGAGAGTCACGGTCCCCTTCTCGTTATGACAGTGGGGAAGCCGAGGCCCAGACAGGTGGAGTGCCTTTGGTTCATTTGCCAAGCTGGTATTTCAGCTACGACCTGGACAAGGACTCGGCCGTGGAGGAGAGTTCCAGGCACAGGGAAGAGTGAGCGTGAAGGTGCAGTGAGAATAGACTTGGCGTGTTTGAGGGTTTGAGGAACAGCAGGAAGGCCGAAGAGGCTGACCTGTGGAGAGCATTCGTGGAGGCTCCCATGACAGAGCTGGGGCCCTAGGCCTTGTGACACCCAGTGCTTGCTGTAGGGTGACTGTCTCTGAAGAGCTTATAAAGACAAGAACTGATCTTTCTTTGCCAGAAAGTTCTGTGAGCCTCAAGTACATGTCCTCTGGTTCATTTTGGTGGTGCCTTCAAGCCTAGGAGATGGTTGACTCAGTGCCTTCCTCTGGCCCTCCTGGGTCAGCCCACGACCAACCTCACTATGGTGTTCTAGAATGGCTACATCCTGTAGGGTGAAGCTAGACTGGGGATGGTTAAACAGGGCCACTCATGCCACCACTTTCCCCGCCGGCGCCCACAGCAGACACTGGTAATGGATCACAGATGATCGCACTCTGGATCAGTTTCCTCCAGTGCTCAGGGCGCCCAGTGCCCTTGTTGCTGGCCCACAAAAGGAGCCCATCTGTTATCCCTCGATTGACCCGAGCCTCACTGGTTCACTGGGACTGTAGGTAGCCCACCGTCCCCTCTGTCTTTTGCACAGGAAACGGGTAGGATGAGCAGTTGCATCCCAAGTGCCCTGGGCCCTTCTCAGAGGACCCTTTGCCACCACAGCTCCCAGCCAGCCCCTTCACGTCCTCAACAGCTCTCAGGGCACCCAACAGCTGGGAACGACGCCTCCCTGGGAAAACTTGGGCTTCCCAGGATCTCTCCCCTCACCTTCTCCCTCAGCCTTGCTGGGCATCCCCCTACTTGCTGTCCCTCACCCACACCAAGCTCATTCCTACCTCAGAACCCCTGTCCTTGCTGTTCCCTCTGCACCCAGATCTTGGCATCTGCACCCAGTGTCCTCTCTTCCGAGAGGCCTGTCCTCACCACCCAGTCCCTGTTTCTCCAGCATGCTCTAGGATCCCCTTGTTTTGTGCTGACTTTCAGTAGCCACGATGCAGCAGGGGAACCAAGGCCCAGGGCTTTTTTTTTTTTTTTTTAAGATTTTATTTTTAAGTCATCTCTACACCCAAGGTGGGGCTCGAACTCACAACCTCGAGATTAAGAGTCCTACGTTCCACTGGCTGAACCCAAGGCCCAGGGCTCTTACATGATTCTGTGATGGGTCGTGGGCCATCCAGGGAGCAGAGGCAGAGCCGGGAGCAGCACTCGGGCCTCGGTGCTGGTCGGGCGCAGGTCCTCGGGAGAGCCCAGGCCAGGCTGCTGCAATGGGGTGCCCAGGCCAGCGTCATCAGGGCTCAGTCTGCACCGGGCTCCCGCTGGGTGCCCCTCGGGGTCATCTTGGGGGCTCCCAGCCCCACGCTGCCATGCTGTTGTCTGTATTTGCAGGAAGGGGACTGGAGGCTGAGAGGTGAGGCCAGTGTCGGGGTCCACAGCCAGCCTGGGTCCCTGCGCCTTGCTCTTGACCATCTTCGTTCCCATGCTGAGCCCGGTTTGTCACTCTTGGAAGGTCAGGAACCGCAGTGAGGGCTAAGAAACTGCAGCAGGTCCCAGGCCCTTGCAGATGATTGTGAAATTGCCATCACTCAGAGGGCAGACAGCAGGGCACAGATAATGCCCCCCCACCCCCGCACCCACCCCGGGTCCCAATGAACACAGGCAGAGGGCCTGGGAGCTGGGAAGGAATGGCCAGAGGCGTGTGTTGGGTAGCAGCATTATGGGTCCTGGTGCCTTTCTCTCTTACAGTTTCTATTTCCCAAATTTTCTTTTTCTTTTTTTTTTAAAGATTTTGTTTATTTATCTGACACGGAGAGAGAGAGAGAGAGCGCACACAAACAGGGGGAGTGACAGGCAGAGGGAGAGGGAGAAGCAGGCTCTCTGCTGAGCAGGGATCCCAATGCAGGGCTCGATCCCAGGACCCCGGGATCATGACCTGAGCCGAAGGCAGCCGCTTAACTGACTGAGCCACCCAGGCTCCCCTCTATTTTCCAAATTTTCTGAAAAAACTGAAGCTCAGAGGGATGGAGACACTTGCCCAGGTGGCCCAGTGCTGTGTGCGTGTGTGTGTGTGTGTGTGTGTGTGTGTGTGTGTTTGGAGTCGGGGTCCAGCTCCCTCCACCTCCGTGGCCCAGGCTGTGGGAGCTCCATCCTGCTGGCTCTTGCCTGGGCAGCCCCCCAAAGCTGAAGACCATGGGGGCTGGCGGGGAGGGCAGGAAGGAAGAGGCATCCTCCTCATGGGTTGTGTTTACGGGAGGGGGTTGTTTGCAAAGATAATGGGAGAAGAATCCGTCGGGTGTACACGGAGGCAGCTGGGGCCGCACTGGGCCTGATGGCAGGTCGGGGAGAAGCGCTCTCGTTTATCCGTCTATTCCGTACCCTTCCTGCTGCAGAAGGCCTCGCTACCTCGCTTTACCCTGGGCCTGGCGGGAGAGGGGCGTGCAGGGAGCTGCAGCCTGGCCTCAGACTGGCTCCCACAGGGCAGAGATCCCTGGGAACTGAGAGCACTGAATCCCCAGCAAGTCTTAGCAGGCTGGGGCCTTTGGGCCTTGCTCGGGGTCCTCTGAGAACGAGAAGCTGAGCTGGAGTTGGACCCCCCCGTGTCATAGCGAGGATTCGTTCATTCATTCACTTGATCATTCATTTGTCTGCTCAGTAAGTCTTTCCTGAGCACCTGCTATGGGCCAGGCCAGTGCGGGGGGCTGGGGGCAGCCGACTCTGAGGGAGACAGGTGCCTGGAGTCCCCTGGGGGAGGGGACACAGGCATGGCCCAGGCTGGCCCAGTGGGGAAGCCCCTTCTGTAAGTGGCATTCAGCCTTCCCTGCTTTATGAAATGACAGGTTTCTTCGCCCCTTTCCTTTTCAAAGAAGTGTAAGAATGCACTTGTCAGGTCTGCGACTTTCTCTTCTCATCCCCACCCTGTCTCGAAGAGCTGGCTCCCAAACGCAGCAAACGCTGTCGAACACCCATGCTCACGGGGCCAGGGAGTGTACTTGCTGTGTGCGTAGACACTGGGCCCATTTCCCAGAGTCGGTGCCATAGCTTTGTGTCCGATTCCCAGAGCCACCTCTGGCTGCCCAAGAGCTAAGACCCCTGTTCTCGAACAAGATTTCAAGACTAGCGACAGGTACAGAGATAATCGATTTGATAAAATGTCGTCTTCTCACCTCAATAAAAAGATGACTTAAAATCAAAAAATAGCTTCCACGAGTCCTAGTAACTAAGGACGGTTTATAAAAGAAAAGGCAAATCTAGGTGGAG